TTATATTACCTTAATACAATACATGAAGAACAACCATGTAGTCTGTTAAATTATTCCACCCTTCGAGGTTCCCAGGGAGTCCTGAGGTGGCAATGTGGATTAATGCACTGGAGTTGGACTCGTATTAACCCTAGTACCATGTGAGGACTCTATGGGAAGCTAAATGTTTTTGTTGTTATTTACCGTCGAGTTGGTTCTGACCCATAAAGGCCCTGTATAGGGTTTCCAAGAAGCGGCTGGTGAGCTTGAACCACAGACCTTGTGGTTCAAACCAACTTTGCAGTCCAGCGCATTAATCTTCAAAGCAGGGATCCTTACTGCTTCATCTTCAAATGGAGTTAGACTCTTGGGGCTTGGTGCCTGTCCTTATGGCTGTGCCCACCACAATCAACCTTAAGCATCTGTCTTGTGGGTCTGAATAGAATGCTTCTGCTTTGAAGATAGGAACTTTGTATACCCCTAGTACCTGACCCAAGCTATGGTATTTTCAATAACCTCATATGCATATGAAAGCTGGACAGTGAATAAGGAAGACCTTAGAAGAATTGATGCATTTGAGTTATGGTGTTGGAGGAGAATATTGAAAGTGCTATGGGCTGCCAAAAGAGCCCACAGATCTGTGTTGGAAGAAGTGCAGCCAGGGTGCTCCTTGGAGGCCAGGATGGCCAAATTTTGTCTCTCATACTTTGGACATGTTGTCAGGAGGGACCAAATGCAGTGGATTAAGATCTGGCTGCTACTCACAAGGTCTGAGGTTAGGAGCACCAGCTGTTCTATGAGAGGAAGATAAGGCTGTGTGCTTCTGTGAAGATTTAGGATCCTGGCAATCTCATGAGCTCTTGCTTTCTGTCCTGTAGGATCACTGAGTAGGAATCAACTTGAATGCAGTGGGCAGGTAGAGCAACAGGGAAGAAAACTGTTGATTTATCATCATCCGATGAAATAGGTTTGTCCTGAAAAAGTTCCATGTTGTGTCACACTGCTTTAGTTTCCTTACAGCTGTTATCGTCATTGGAAATCTCTCTATTTCTTTGTTTGCTTATGTACATAGATAGATACTACCTCTTCCTTCTGTTTTGTAAGTCACTGGGCAGCAATCTTGTCAGAAAGGACCTTGTCTGTTTGTTGTTGTTTTGTTTTGCTGGTGTTGTAGTAAATTTCTGTATACCCAAAGCCCCAGTGTTTATTTAGAACAGTACTTAATGTATAGCAAGATCTCAAGAAATAAGTATCAATTTCAGAATGACCATTTCTACTGTTCCCTCTTAACCTATGTAGTATAGTTCTAAGCAGACATTGTTTTCTACTTCCCATACTATTAATTCTGCAGCTGTTGCTATATTATCCATGTCTGACAAAAGGACATTATAATGGATATATTATTGCCACTTAGTCATGTAAAGTGGTCTCCCTCGACTTTTCTGGACGCCTGGATTCAAAGTGGATTCCCTGTTCGCATTTATTAACTCATCTGGAATTCTAACCGACAGGCACCGTTGTCTCTCAGTGGTGGGACTTGAACATACATGAGCAGCGATCTAACCAGATTCCGTTGCCTTGCACTTTAGCCATTCGGCTATTCTGGAATCTAACTAAACACATGTCCATTTTCAGACAATTTTGGCGATACTGAGCAAATAAAAAGTTTCACAACAATTTAAAAAGTTGTTTTTTTTCCCCTAAAGCAAAGCAACAACATGTGAAATAAAGTTGTGGTTTTGATCTTATGCTACTGATTTCTTTCTGTCCAATTACCCGGCACTCTAGAGGCACGTGCAAGTGATTGAGAAAATACTCAAGTAGTAAGATGTTCAAGACCGACACCCGGAAGGACATAATAGGGAATTGTAGTGAGTTTCCTTCTCTCTCTCTTTTTTTAAATTTGAAGTGGGCAAGTCGGACTGGGAATTTAAATAATAAAGGTTCCTCTTTCTCTACCTCTTTGTCCACTTTTTCCTTTTCACTTCATTGAAAACAAAAAGCGACTCTGGTGGGACTCGAACCCACAACCTTTGAATGCCTCCGTCTGTCTAGAAGTCCAATGCGCTATCCATTGCGCCACAGAGCCAGATGTCATGCAGCTTTGTGCGCGCTCACATCAAGGATGGAGCCGCCTATGGCTGGGGGTCCTTCCCTGAGACAAGTCACGCTTCCCTTTCCCAGCAGACGCCGCGCCGGGTCCCCATGAAGCCCGAGTCACTGGGGAAGGCAGGGCCAGGAACTGCGCTCCAAATCTAAAATCCTTTTGAAAGTTTTTCTCTTGTGTGCGATAACTGGGTTTTACATTTCAACCTCATTCTACATTCCAAAAAAGAGTGATGGGGGTGGGGAAAAAAAAGTGTCTCTGTATAGTGTTAATAAAGCCTGCCACAGTAACTAAACCGGCGGTTCCATAGTGTAGCGGTTATCACGTCTGCTTTACACGCAGAAGGTCCTGGGTTCGAGCCCCAGTGGAACCACCCCTTTTGTTGTTTTCGAGTAGTAAGAGCTGGATGTAGGGTTTTGCTCCAGGAAGCCAGAGGTGCAGCCATTTCCCAGGGGTCTTGGCCATGCTCCTCTCTCGACTCTGAAAGTTCTGTGCCTACGCGACCGAGGCTGCCCCAGCGTGGCGTCTCTCTGGAAGTGCAGGCGGCTTGTCACCGCACGCCCTGTGCCCGCGCCCTTATTGCTGCAGGTCCTGGCGCCACCAAGTGCTCGGGTCTGGCGCCTCACCTTATGAGCTTCCAAAACCCTGCTCGCTTTCAACAGTGTGACATAGTTTTAAAAGTTGCTTTCATCATTCAATTGAGGAATATTCCGAAGGCCACCCCTTCCTTTATTGATGAACTCCAAGTCCTCCGATCTTCCAATTTGTTCATTTACAATAAAAATACTTTTCGAAAAATTAATGAGTACATCTGCACATGGTAAAGATTTCAAATAGCACACATTCTTTACAGCGATGTTTCTCCTATTTTCAGCTCTTTGAAGTTTCTTTTGTTGCCTTCCAGAGATATATATTCACTGATGTAGGTTTCCTTTACGCTTCTTCTTATTTTTTTGGTAAGACAGCATACTACAGATATTCCCCCAACCCAACCCCATTCTCACATGTGCATTGGACATATTGTGAAGAGGGACCTATTCCTGGAGAAGGACATCACGCCTGGCAAAGTGGAGGGTCAGCAAAAAAGAGGAAGACCAACGAGATGACACATAGTCTGCAATAATGGGCTAAAATGTAACAACCATTGTGAGACTGGGGCAGGACCCGGCAGTGTTTTGTGCTGTTGTGCATAGAGAGGGTCGCTATGCGTCTTCACGGCACCCTAACACGTGGTGATGAAACATCACACACAGTTTACTCAGTGCACATTGTTTTTAATTCAAGACAAAAGAGTTTCTGAAAATACCGTTTTGCAAATGTGGGAAATGCTAAGCAATTTAGCAAAAATGTCAATGATCCCATTTTAGAATCCGTATGTTTAAAGATTGTTGTCCAAACGTCCTCATTAGTGCAGAAGCAACACATTTTCACGGATAATGGATTTTTAAATATGCTTATGCCACAGTCTTTATAAGAATATCATAATCAATTGTTGCTGTTAAGTGTTTTCAAGTCTGTTCCCATTTTTAGCGACTCTGTGTAGGTTTTCTGAGGAGCAGCTGTTGAATTTGAACTGCCAACCTTGTGGTTCAAATCGACCTTGTGGTCCAGTGATTTATCCCACAGCACTACACCAGGACACTGCAATCAATCAATTGTCCCTTAAAAGTAAGTGTGTTTGTGCTTATGTATTCTTAATGCTACAGTAGTGGACACATTTTTTTTTTTTTTTTTAGATGAGCTTGTTCCTGATGCCATCAAATCAAGGATGAGGCATGGGTAGTAAAATGTGCATTTAGCTGAGGGTGGGGTCTCAGATCTAGCTTTGTCTCTGCCATTAATTAGCTAGAAAAGCTTGGTTAAAACAGGAAAACTTTTTCAGTTTCTGTAAGGAAAACCTGAAACTTACTTAAAAAAGAAAAAGAAAAAGAAAAAAGGAGTTTACATGTTTCACTGCTAGACTCAAGGTCAGCAGTTCAAATTCACCAGCTGCTTCATATAGGGAAAGTGGCTGGAGTTTTAGCCTTGACTCTTGGTCCCAGGAGATTAGTTTATCAATGCTTGCTTGGACCACACTGATGTTGCTACAACTCAAGAAGCAAACATCACACTAGCTGCTGTTTAGTTGATTCTGATTGCACACAGCTGTGTTGTTGCAGCGGTGCCCTGCCCTCCATAGAGGTTTCAAGGCTGTGATCTTTTAGAAGCAGATTGCCAGGTCTTTATTCTGAGGTAGACTCAAATAGCCAGCCTTTTGATTAGTAGTTTAACTGATTAACCATTTGTACTACCCAGGGTATCATACACTCAAGAACAGAAGTCATTGCTTTCAGTCTCCGCATCCGTGTCTGTGAAAGGAGGTGTTTGCATGATAAAAGCACCCAAACCAAAAACCAAACCCTCCGACGTTGGGTCAATTCGGACTCATCGTGACCCCACAAGACTGCCCCATAGGGTTTCTGAGGCTGTAAATCTATATGGACCCAAACTGCAACAATTGTCTCCTGAATCGTGTTTCAAACTGCTGACCTTGAGCGCTTGACAACAGTGCCACCAGCGCTTCTCATTTAAACGTTGTTGTTGTGAAGTGCGCCCTCTAGTTGGTTCCAACTCATAGAGACCCTGTATAAGGTTTCAGCTGGTGGATATGAACTGCGGACCTTGCTCTTAGCAGTTCAATGCCACACCAAGACTCCTGATAGAAACATCAGAGTCCCTATAATACCTGACAATTTATGAACCTGAGACTCTTAAGTCATCAACAACCTTACCGTGAGACAACCCCGAAGGAGTGATTGTCTCAATCCAACTGTATTGTAAAGACTCTGCTGAGGGAAAAAGATAAAAGCTCTTGCCTCAAGGTGGTGTATTGACTGAGGTCCTCTACTGGGTTATGAAAAAACTCTTTTCAGTTCTAACTTCCCAGTCTGGACTTCATGGCATCTATTCCACTTTTGGAGGGTCCAAGTCTTTTCTTTAGTTTCCTCATGGCTGACTTCATCTCCTGGTTCCTCAAGGTGTAGATTATGGGGTTCAGGACAGGGATGATGACAGTGAAGGTGATGGACACAGCTCTGTCTGGAGGGAGGGCTGTGAAGGGTCTGGCATAGACATAGATGCAGGGTACAAAATGCAGGGTCACCACAGTGATGTGGGCTGTGCAGGTGGAGATGGCTTTCCTCTTGCCCTCCCCAGTGTGAGACCTCAGCATCATCAAGATGACGGTGTAGGACACCAGGAGAATCACAAACCACAGGGTAGTGACTAGACCATTGTTGGAAATCATTAGGAGCTCAAGAGCAAATGTGTCCGTGCAGGCAAGCTTGAGAACCTGGGGAACATCACAGTAGAAGCCATCAACAACATTGGGTCCACAGAAGGGGAGTGGGAGCAATAGGGAAATCTGCACGATGGAGTGGACAAAGCCCCCCACCCAGGAGGCTGTGATGAGTGCAGTGCATCGTCCCCTCCCCATGATGGCCACATAATGCAGGGGCTTGGAGATGGCCAGGTACCGATCTAATGCCATCACAGAAAGAGAAAAAATGTCTGCCCCACCAAGGAGGTGAAAAAAAAACATCTGTGTGATGCAGCCATTGAAGGAAATGGTCCTTCTCCTTGAGAGAAGGTCTACTAGGATCTTGGGTGCAGTGATGGAGGAGAAGCAGATGTCCAGGACAGAGAGATTGCGGAGCAGGAAGTACATGGGGGTGTGAAGGCGAGACTCGCAGGTGACAGTGACCATGATGGCAACATTGGCCAACACAGTTGTTATGTAGACCATAGATAAAAAGAAGAATAAGAACAGACTCAGCGCTTGAGATTGAGTAAGTCCACAGAAAATAAATTCAGGCACCCTGGTATAATTTCTCAGGGCCATTGAATTGGTTCCTTTTCCAAGCACACCTTTGGAGGAAAAAAAAAAAAAAATTAAGATAATGGGATAACTAAAGGTTTATCTGTTTGTTTTTTTGTTACATATCTTGTTCTTCATGAACTTGCTGTATTACATGGGAGGGTCACTTAGTTCTGGTTGCTTTAGTTTCTTCACTGATACAAGGAGAGGTTTCCTACCGTGGGACCCTGTGGGTTCTAGTTCATTTCTAGACGTTGCTGAAGAAGACAACGGAAGGGAGGCTTGGTGGAAAGATTTGTGACTTCCATATACTTCAGTGAACCAGAACAGCTCTGGGTTTATTTGCATCACTTTGTTTCTATGTCTTAAAAGGCTTGGGAACTGTTGGAATGAATCAAACCCTAGATAGCTCCAGCAATAACATATGTATCTATCTAAATACTGTCATTTAAAAAGCTCCTGAAGACGTAACTCCAATAGAATTTCCTAACAGATCTCTGAGATGAGGAGGGAAGGTGTAAATACTCCTGCTTTGCTAATTCTGAAGTGGGACTAAATAAGGGTAAACCCAGTTTCCAAGGTCATACAGTAAATCAATGGCAGAGGGGGTCGAAGACAGATCTGTCTTCACTTTTGACTCCTGGCTGCTTCCATTATACTACACTGACTTCCGGTTTCAGAATACATAAACTCAGGAATAATATTCATCAGAAATTCTTCAAAAAAATTTTTGTGGCACTTTCAGTAATTGGTTTCATAATTTCCTTGAATTCCTTTCTCCATCACAACGGAATTTGAGACCACTATCCTTCTGTTCCACCACTCACCTGTCAGTTTGGTGGACTGAGGTTGCTTGTATGTTGCTGTGATGCAGGAAAGCGTGCCACCGGTATTTCAAAAGTCAGCAGGTACACTCATGATGGACAACTAGAATATTATAATATGAGCAAAGACTTAGAGTTAGGGAAGGACATGCCTGGCATTTCTCAAGTTGAAAGAGCTGAAGAAAAACTTCGAGCTTCATGTTGCAATATTGAGGGCTCCTAGTGTGGTGTTGTTGAATCAGCACAGGACTGGGACCCACATCTAGCTCAAATCCATCAGCTGCTCCTTGCGATCCCTGCTCAGGGTCTCTTTGAGTCGGAATCGACTCGACAGCACTTAACAACAACAAGAACCTGGGAAAAGAATAATGTTTAGTTCTGTTGTATTTGTATGAGTCGGAATCGACTTAACGGCTCCTAACAACAGTCCTTCTATCAGGTTTCAGAAAGCAGAAGTCTCCACTTTAATTTTTGATTATATTTCATGAGTTCTCAGGGGTTGGGAGTAAATGATGTCCTTGGTGCAAAGAAGATCCTGAGGATGGTGTTGGGGACAGTTCTGTTCATGAATAAGACACCAAAGATACAGAAATATATTTCTGTTTCCATCTCCATCTCCTTCCTTGTCCACCTCCCATCCCCATATCTCATTGGTTTGTCTCTATTTATCTGGACTCCTGGTGTGGTGCAGTACGATCAGCGCTGGACTGCAAATCCCAAGGTGGCAGTTCAAATCCATCAACTGCATTGTTGGCAGCACACAATGGAAACAATGGTCACCCCTCCCACCCCATGGGCTGTATTTATTGTTAAGTACCATCGAGTTAGAAACTACCATCCGCTCCGCAGGAGAAAGATGAGGCTTTCTACTCCTGTAAAGATTTTCACCCTCAGAAACCCTGTACAGGGTCACTAAGAGTCGGAACTGACTGTGAGGCACATTACAACAACAACAACCATCGAGCTGGTTCCAACTCATAGCGACCCTGTATAGGGTTTCAGAGGAGCAACTGGTAGATTTGAATTACCACCTCGTGGCTCAAATTGACATTGCAGTCCAGTGCTTATCATAAGTCCTGGTTGGGGAGGAAGGAGCAGATCCAACTAAGAGATTTTCAATTCATTATATATATATATTGGCTTGTTGATCAATTCAGAACTAATGAAGTTCCTGCAAGCCTCAAGTGATTTGAAGGCCACACAGCAGGCTAGTGGTGAAGTCACAGTTTCATGTTCTAGCCAATGTATTTCCCACTCAACGGCGCACTTCAATACTTTCTAAGAACGCTTGTCGTGGTGATCGTGGCAACAAAGTTAACTCAGGGAAAAAAGTCACACTCAACCAAAGTATCCTTCTGGTCACCTGGCACCACTGTGTAGGCAACTGATCCCTGTCTTAGGTGACTCATGATGCTATATTATATAGCAGAAATACCACAGTGGATGGCTTTAACAATGAGAGATTTCTTCCTTCACAATTTAGGAGGCTAGAAGTCCAAATGCAGAGTGTGGACTCTTGGGGAAAGCTTTCTCTTTGTCAGCTCTGAGGAAAGGTTTTTGTCTCCTTTCAGCATCTGTAGCTCCAGCAATTCCTTGGAGATCTCCATGCACCTTGGTATCAATCTTCCCCAGGATCTAGGAGCTTCACAGTGTAGGGACTCCAGATCCCAAATATGTATAGCACTCCTGGTTCTTTGATTTTGGTGGTAATATGTCCCTCTTCTGTGCTTAAGTCGCTCTCCCTTTATCTTACAAGAGATCAAAGTATTACATATCACACCCTTGAGAATCTCTACAGGTCAGGGTGTTAGAGAGACTAAGGTCAGCAAAGGTAAGAGCCCGGATAGCTCAGTCGGTAGAGCATCAGACTTTTAATCTGAGGGTCCAGGGTTCAAGTCCCTGTTCGGGCGGGAGCTATTTTAGAGTCCTGATGTGGGGAAACCAACCCACGGCACTGAAGAACAACAATCAATCACCGCCCAGCTGGGAACCAATTTTTGGTTCGGGTAAAACAAACTTTGGGAGGGAAGAAGAGACGTAAGAAATTATATGGCTACAAAAATTCAAAGCAAATGTTTCTCATTTTCCCTGGTAAAATAAATATATGCTGTTTCCCCAGTCCACCTCAAGGGCACAATTCTGGAAGAAGTACATTTCATTCAAACAACTGATTTCCTATTGTGTAAAAGCTGGTGAGGACTCTACTCTCTTATCTTCTCTCAATTTGTTCCCTTCTTCTCCTCTGTTGTTAAGTGCCACGGAGTTGGTTGTGACTCATAGCGACCCTGTATAGGGTTTCCAAGGAATAGCTGGTGTGTTTGAACCACCGACCTTACGGTTATTAGCTGAGTGCTTAAACCCTTATTATCTCTCCAGGTAGATCAGCACTGGACTGTTAACTGAAAGCTCGGCAATTCAAGCCCACAAGCCACTCCTGGGAAGCTCTATACGGGGTTGCTATGAGTCAGAACTGACTCCTTGACTGACACTTGACAACATCTCTCCTTAGATTGTTGCTTTAGTTTCTTAACTGAACTCTCTTTTTTGCGTCTTGGTTGTCTCTAATTCATCCTCTCTGCTGTTTACAGACATAGCATACATTATTGTTGTTGTTAAGTGCTGTTGGGTTGTTTCCAACCCATACCGATGCTGTATCAGGTTTCCAAGGAGGGTTTGGTGAGCTTAAATCACCGACCTTGTGGTTTAAGCAACTTTGCAGTCTAGTGCATTAGCCCACAGCACTACACCAGTACTCCATATCGTGCATGGTAAGCCATAGATGGGACTAAACTATTTCTTTGTTTGAAATTTTTCAGTGACTCCCTGTTGCCTACAGAATAAAGGGTGAGCTTCTTTGATAGCACTTAGGAACTTCTAGATAGGGTGCTCTGTTTCCTTTGACCCCTTATCTCAGAGGCTCAAACTTTATTGAGTTTCACACTTTATGTTTCTGCGTTTCTGCAACTCCCTCCACCTGCCATGACCCCTCATGCTCAGGATCTCCCACCTCTCAGTACTGACAAACACGGACCCTTCAACTTGTAGGTCCAGGTCTCTTCCTCTGTGAAAACTTTCCTGACACTCACAGCTAGATCCCTCCTTTGTGGCTCCATTGTTACTAATATGGTCTTCTCTTCTGGTGCCACATGAGACAGCTTATCACACCTAAATGTTTGCATGTCTGCATAGTGGATGGAGTCCCCTGGTGTAGTGCTGTAGGATAAGCACTGGACTGCTCGCCACAAGGTTGTCAGTTCAAACCCACCAACCTCTTTTCAAACACTATAGATGGTTGCTATGAATGGATCTGACTTGATGGCACTTAACAACAATAGCTTGGCATAGTGGGTTACCAGTTGGAGTGCTTTAACTTAGCAAGGTCAGCAGTTCGAATCTACCAGCTGCTCCAAGGGAGAAAGATGAGTCTTTCTGCTCCCATAAAGATTTGCAGGCTTGGAAATCTTTGAAAGTTTAGTAAAATTTCCCTATTACTTCTTAAGTTCATATGTCTGCTCAGTATTTTGTTCATCCTAATATTGTCAGTTATTTGAACTGCAATGTCAATGGTTCAAGCTCACCAGCTGCTCCTTGGAAACCCTATACAGGGTTGCTATGGGTCGGAATCGACTCAATGGCACTTAACAACAACAACAACAATATTGTCAATAGGAATCCTGGTGTAGTGATGCAGGATAATGCGCTGGACCACAAAGTCAGTGGTTCAAATCCATCAGCAGCTATTTGGAAACCCTATACAGTGTCATTATGGGTTGGAACATACTTGACGGCACTTAACAACAATATCATCAAGGAGTCCTGGTGTGATACCATAGGATAAGCACTGGGTTGCAAGGTTGGTTTGAACTGCAAGTCTAGGCTTCAAACTTACCAGCTGCTCCCCAGAAACCCTATACAAGATTGCTATGAGTTGGAACGGACTCAGTGGCACTTAACAACAACAGCAAGATTGTCAAAGCCTCTCCCGGCACTTGATAGATGCTTAATAAGTGATTTTAAAATGACTGAATGAATGTGGATGATGAACACAGGATAAGAAACTATTTTGCTAATGTCTTTGACTCAGCCTCAGTGACACCAGACAGCGATTGGATTTCTTATCCTGCCTGTAAAATGACTCTGTGACCCCGAGAGGGCCATTTCCCTGCACTTTGTCTCAGAGTTTGGAGTAGGATACACCCG